TCTCTATTGAGCTGATACCTTGGTAATTCTCAGTTCATAGCTTTGCAGATTTTCTGAAATTAGAGAATGATAAAAAGTCTGAGCATGAAAAATTTAAACAGCAAGTGTATGTTCCTTAAAAAGCAAGTGAACGTTATACCCTACAGATTTACACAGACAGGATGCTTTAAAAAGGGTGTCTCAATGTTAAACACCTTAATATTGAAGTGTGGACTTGCCATGGTGTTTAATAATAGTTAAGACCTTGGCAGCTCATTACAAATTGAAAGAAATGAATGCTGTGCAGAATCATTAGATATGATAAACTCAGTTGTAATTATGTCTCTTCAGAAGCAGGAAAAAATGCAAAACTAATGAGCAAGAAAATCATAGGGGAAAAAAATGATGCATCACCCTATAAGGCTTCATATTTCCTAATACTAATTAGACAAAAAATGGGGATTAAATGCAAGAGAGTGTTCCAGATCTGACACCAGAAAATCATTGGGTCAATATGCCCTCGTTCCTGGGTCAATGTACCTCTGCATTTAGCTCAGAGACCATGGATTTAATGAGATATTTTGTGAGAGACCTTGTATAACAGTAAGACAATATCATTTATGTCATTACACCTATTTATTTTAAGCTTGGACAGCCCTGTCTGAATGGTTGCAAAAAATTTCAGATGGTCCTCATCTGAAGCAGACCGCAAAAGGCTATCATTAAAACTAACAAAATATTTCACACTTGTAAAAAAAACCCAGAAAAAATACGAGGCCTTTTCTGAGACAGAGGAATACAATTTTTACTTCATGTGTTGACCATAGCAAAGTCAGATAATTTTTTTTTCCAATTAAGAAAACACAGGAAAACATAGTTCACACTTTTTTCCAAGTGACCTCCCTCTTTTTCTTTTTTTAACCATCCTAGAAGTGTTATTAGAATTTTTCTCCAATCTACTCAATTGAAATTTCTGCAGAAAGAACTTGTTGCAGGCAGGAACTTCTAGCGTCAGATGTCAATGCTAACATTTTTGGCTACTGATTCTGTTGATGGTGGAACTAATATCATGTAAGCAGTCACAGTCTATTTGCATGGTCTGTTGACATGGCTAGCACAACCTCACAACCTTGTTGAGCCTGAACAATATTACCAAGGATTCATTCCACATTTATGAAGACTATATTATCCAAGAACTATCACTAGAATAAAAAGAAAATATTTGGTCACATTGTCTAATTATAACAGGATTCACTTGAGAGTTTTCATTGCCATTTAATGGAATTTTTCAGGTAGGCTTCTCTGAAACCTTTCCAACAAAAGAAAATCCATGATCATTCACAGAGTCAAACATTTGTGTCATCTTTGTCACCATAAGGTATCAATGAGGACTAGAAAAATACAGCCAACTTGCCACCAGCAAGAAACATCACTAAATTATTGGATTCTGCCAGTTAAAGTCCTGAATTCTGCACTCACTAAAGTCAATGTGAGAACTCTTAAGCAGGCCAGGGTAAAAGGACTGGGCCTCTAATGACTGAGTTGAAGAACTTTCCCTTTAATTTATCCCCAAAAGTCAAAGCTTAAAATAGGAAAAGCGCAGACTGTATCCTCAAATTGCACATTTCTGTGATATTTGCAGCCAGAAATATGACTCTGGATAGTTTGAACTTACTTTTATTACCAGTATGGTCACTAAAGTACACAAATCCAATGAACTAAACTTGCTCAGAAGAAATTCTCTTGAAGGGAGATCAACTCTATTTTTGTCCCCCCCAATCCACTCATACAAGCACTTTGAAGAGTAGGGGAGTCTTCTACTATAGCAGATAGTAGTGTAGAAGAAAATAGCTTTTTCACAGAGAGAACAAATACTTCATTCAATGGCTGACATAGAGAAGGCTGGGAAATTGAGTGGAAAATCACGGACAAGAATTTTGTTCCCAGGGCCTTGTAGCAACTTGAACCATTTTGCAAATATTCTGATTTCCAAATAGATTCACATTTGCACCGGGGGAGGAGACAGAATAATAAAACTACTGCTATAGCTCCTCAATTGATACATGTTCCATGTGTTTTTACTAGCATGTGCCATACTGCAGAGAATTTATGTGTTTGAGAACAGCTGAGGATGCACCACCCAGGTATATAATATCTAACAAACCTTGTATTCTGAAACCAAACTGTGTTTGAATGTAAGCAAGAAAAAGGAAGTTTCTAGCCAATCCACTTGATGCCATTCTTGCAAACATTTTTTGGTGAGGTAGAAAGAAAATATCTCCATCTGTAAATGGAGCTACAAATAGGCTTTGTGGAACTGTGCTTGAGCTGGTATCTTAGCATCATTAATCAAAAAATAGTAACAATTTTTTTCCAGTGCAACATTTTAATATTTTTTTGTATATATTTATGCAATCAAATAAGAAGACAAAATACAAATATAAACAAGTTAATATTTTAAGATTACTGGAAATATGCAAGTTAGGAAACAAATAAACTGATGCTGCTATGCTAAAGCAGCAATACCTTAATATTGCTATGCTAATGCAGCAATATTTTAAGAACCACTGAGGTTTGTGAAAGAGTACATCTCATATAAATGGTTAAAACAACAATCAGCTATTATTAAAAATCCAGTTGTATTTAATCACATATATATTACTAATATTAAAAAGTCTAATCCCACAGTCCAATGAAATGGTGAAAATCTTTTAATTTGCTTCATTCAGTTTTAAATCAGGGCACTAAAGGTAAAGTCAGTAGAAATACTTTAAAGTTATAATATTTTAGTAGAAATAAGAAGCAGAATAAAGCAAGTTTAACATTATGGAAAGTAAAATAATGTAGATCTATACCTCCAGCCTCACAGTGGTTAAACTACATTAGCAAATATTAAATTGGGATTGTTCAGCCTAGAAAAGATAAGGCTGGGACTTAACTACAGCCTTCCAGTACCTGAAGGGAGTCTACAAGAAAGATGGTGAGGGACTATTTACAAGGGCTTGGAGTGACAGACAGGTCAGAGGGGAATATATTCAAGCTGACAGAGAGTAGGTTTAGATTAGACCTTAGGAAAAAATTCTCTACTGTGGGGGTGGTGAAGCACAGGTCCAGGTCAACCCAAGAAATTATGGCTGCCCTGTTCCTTAGAAGTGTCTGAGGTCGGGCTTTGAACAATGTGGTCTTTTGGAATGAACCTCTGCTCATGGCAGTGGAGTTGGAACCAAGTTTCTTCCAACCCAAACCATTCTGTGATTCTACAAGTCTAAGAAATGCTAGAAATGCTAGACAAACACTTCCTGCACTAACACTACAGTTGTTGGTATTCTAGTGTTACAGTTTTATTCATAATTATTAGTTCTGAAAGCTGGTTCTGGAATTCTTGAGACTCTACTGTGAATAATTTGAAGAATAGCTGTCTCCTTTTTTAAAAGTATATTTAACCATTTAAAAAAATTTTTTTTTTTTACAGAAGTGGGTCTAATATCTCTGTAAATACTATATTTAAGCAAGCAAGTTGAGATTTAAACTGTCATATGAACTAATGTTGTGAATGGCAAAATTTTGTAGTATTATTTAGAAAATAATTCAGGTTTCCTTCAAAAATAAGCCATGGGCAAATTTCAAGCAACTACTGACTTAATATTTAGAATAAATTCAATTCAATAGTTCACATCCAATTTCAACTCCATGCCATAAGACAATTAAAATAAATATGAATATTATATATTGTTAGAAGTATTGCTTTTTAGCTTGTTACACCAGAACAGACAACTTCTAGGGAAAACACAAAATGCATCCATCATAAAGAACATTTTGCTGTTACATATGATTTTTTTGCCATAGAGATCACAAGTTACTACTAACACTACAAAATTTAAAAATTCTTGGAAAGTATATTTAAGAACTATAATTTGTTGTTATGCCTAGGCTGAGTTTTTTATGGCTTTATAAAATCCTCCATGACTAACAGCTTCTTAAATAAATCCCTGAATATACAAAGAAATTTATAGATCAAATTAATATTATTACTTTATTAATAGGAACTCAGTATGAAGTTCTTAAAAATCAGCTACTGAAGATTTATTCCTAAATTGCAGCCAGGTGTAAGAACATTAAACATAGTATTAAATAATTTTATGGAGAAACTCTCACAAATGTGGATCTCCAGTTTCAACAAAACCCCCACATCCATTCATTTACATCAAATGTAAACAGCAGCAATTTTCACCAATATTATTTGAAGATATCAGTTACTGAATTTTATTTTTGTGAACACAGAAAAGAAAGTTCCCTAATTTATGATCATATTTTAACTAGCAGAAATAGTGTTGATAATATGTGACAGCTCCGTAGCCATTTTATTTAAAATTGGTTAATCTGTCCTATTGGACCTATTTAGCTTCAGCTAAACAGTGATGGTCACTTGGTTTTATAACTACAACATGCTACTATTATTGTATGTGGATTTTAGAATGTGTTAGGTGACTCAAATTCTTCTTAAAATTCAGACAGGAAAAGAGGAAACTTTTTTATAAAGTATTTTTTTTTTATATGAAGGAAGTAAAAATAAAGACCCTGCAAAGTTGAAGGGGCACCAATAGTTGAAATGTCTGAAATTTAATGAAAGCGCTCATATATTATAATAACTCACAACAGTTCAAAAACATAGTACTAAAAGCCTGTGTCCTGTAGCAACTCACAGGTGTGCTTAACCATGTATATTCCAGAATAAAGTCAAAGCGAGTAGAGCACACACAGCAGTCTTTTTAGAAAAAAGTCTTCAAGTAATAACTTCCTAACTGTTCATTTTACTGAACTTGAACACACTATGTGTGAGGTTTACAGATTATTTACAAAAGCATTTTTTCTTTGATAATCTAACATGCATTGTGTATATGTATACGTATATGTTGGTATATACATAGGTACACAAACTATCAACTTTTTAATAATCTTTAATAATTAATTACCTTATAAACATAATACGATGCTGAAGTCAGGTATTTTTTGCAACTCACCTGTCTGTTACGTTCATCCATAATCCTTGTAATCTGAATCTTTTTTCTCCCCATAGTCCCCGTTTTTTTTTCTCTCCTTCTTCCTTAAAATTACGTATTTTTCCCTTCTCTTTTATTCCTCTTTCCTGTTTCCTCAAAACAAACCTCCTTCTTCAGCACTTGCACCACTCAGTTCACAGTCCCCTGCATCCGTTCCTGCTAAACACAGAAAGGAAATCAAATATTATCATGAAATTGATAACCAGAAGAAAGTCATTACATGGAGCTGGCCAAGCATCCTCATTATAATTTTGTGTACAAGTAAATTAGAACTAAAATTTACTGCACTTATAAAAGAAGTAAACATGGACAGGAAAAAAAAAAATTATTCAAAGCCTTATTTTTATGAAAGAAAACACCAAATACAAATATTTCAAGAAATAAAGAGATTGAACTACAAGTTGTGAAAATTTTAATGGAATTACTCTCTAATTTTAAATATCACTCACAGCTCTAATATCCTAAATCAGAGAATTAATAAACTGTTCTGTATCTATATATGCTAAGCAGGGCAGTTAATTTATTTCTGAAGGGAAAACAATTTTGTGCTTTGACAGCAGGGATGATAATTTCCTCATTGTGCAAATACAATGGACATTTATTTAAACTCCACTTGATATATAAGAGTTGCTAGCTACTTTAAATACAAAGTTCATAATTTTATTTTTTAATAATATAAATTAATAAAAGTATTACTGAAGATACTTGAAGAAACATTAGTGCCCTTTTCCCTCATTTCATTTTAGTGAAAATTCAAAAATGTTCTGCAAAGGATTTCTAACCTGCAAACACATGTTTTCTTACAAAAACTGAACAATAGAGGTAGATGACAATTTTAAAGAATGTTTTGAAAAATATTTTCACTGTTTTAGTAATGCATGAGCTTTACAATACTGGTTCTGTCACAGATCTAAGGAGAGAAATGTACAGTACATTAAAATACACAATGCAGGAAACATATTTCACAAAATGTTATAAACCATGTAATTAATTTATATAATATCCAAAGTATTTTAACAATAAAATACTTTTAATAATAAAAGTATCCATGGAAATAGTAAAAAATGCAAAAATTATTTTGTCTAGTATAAGGTAAAAGACACAAGATTTTCTGCTTTATAATCTCTATTTACCATATTAGTATATTTTTATATATTTTAAGTGAACAGCACAAATGTTTTTGAAACACGGAATACAAAAAAGAAATCTGAATAATATTAATTTACATGTTCTTTTGAAGTTTTTATCTTAGCTCCCTAGTGTAGTAAAAATATTGCCTTGGAAGTAAAAAAATTGTAATTTTAAAACAGAGGCTGGTATTTCCCCATTTATTCTAAACTTATAGTATCTCAGCCAACCTGATAAATTCTCACAATATATTACATAACACTAAGCTGATATCCTGGTCATTTAATCCATTATTTGGCTCTGATTCAAATCTAGTGAGTTAGAAAAGCTAGATCTCACTCATTCTGATCTTTAATTCTCTTTTGATTTTCTAAGCATACATTAAACTTTAAGCTGTTCAAGTGTTTTATCACTCTAAGGAAAAACAATTAACGAATAAGCAGTCAGTCTGAATTTTCTAGCTAACCACTATGGTGTAATTACACTGTTGGGCAAAACAAATCTTCAATCATAGTACTTATTGTATTTCTATATATGACCGTCTTTTTAATATTATTTTCTGGGCATATTTGTGTATTATTACCATAAGGCAGAACACAGAAATTCTGTGAATTATTCCACATGGAACAATTAATATTGTAACTATAACAAAATATAAACTGCAAAAACTCTTAGTTGCTTTTTATATTTGAAAACAACAGCTACAGCTTAAAAAGATACGAAGGTTGTTGATCATATTTGCAACAACAACAAAAAAGTTAAAAGAAGGCCAAAGCTTTGAAAAAAAATTATTTTGTAAATGTATTTTAAAAGCTTTTTTTTCCAAACAAAGTTAGGAAACAGTCTTATCTGATTTTCAGTGTTGACAAACAAACCCAGTCTATTTTTAGAAGCAGTTTTACATTTCGCTGGTTTGGGTTTCTTTCCTGTTTTTCCTACAGTCTTACCTCCAACACAAAGCATGAATTAGAATGGTGCTTCCCACGCGCATGCGGGACTCAGAGAGTCTGTCTTACTCTGTAGCAGCAAGCCCATCCTCTAATCCACAGCAAATGCACATGGACAGCTTCCTTTTCTTTCATTCCGCTGAGGCCAGCGGTGCTATTGGCTTACAGCTCTGCCTGCCTAAACTATTCACTGCAGCGTGGGAGGTCAGGGTGGGCAGATTACAGCAGTTGTGGCTGGTTAGTGAAGATGAGCTGCTCTGCAGATCAAGATGCTGATGCTTAGTGAGTTCAGAAAAAAATCACTTAATACTAAGAAAACTCTGTCAGGAAGGATAAAAATCACAGTGCAGGAGCAGTATGTTGAGTCCCTCTCACACACTTATCAGTTCTGCATTTAAGACCAGTCTTCAAACAACAACAGCATTTATAGACAGTTTAAACTCAGAACCTTAGAATTCCTGTGATCTACACAAAGTTATTTTAAAGTAATTCATGCAAGAATTGATAAGCAGAATTTTGTATAAAACCTATAATTAGGTCATCTGTATGAAACATAATTTGCAAAAAAATATAAATTTGCTTCAATGGGCAGTGAGTTAGGTTTTCTTGCATGGATTAAAAATAAATCTTTTCTCCTATATGTCCTAGTTTGCCTTTTGCTTATTAGTCCAAATAAAAGCTTTTCGATTTTTGTATCAAATTCATTTCCTTTTAGAAACTCACTCCCACACACATACCTATCAACTCATAGTCCTTCAGTGCTATTCTTACTATGTGTTAGCTCATAGTTCTATATATTTCCTTAGTAAACACATAAAAAAGATCACAGGACTGATTCCCAATTAATGAATTTCAGATAAGTAAAATCAAGTCATCTCATGCAAGGTCTATAACCTTCAAAGCCTTGTAATTTCCAAGTCAAACAGAATGTCTGGAGACCAACAAATCCTCATGACTGCTTAGGACTTCACCAGTGCTCTCAATACCTTTTGAAAATTCTTGCAGAACCAAGAATTTCAGTAAATCAGTATTTAAAGTTCCTGTTAACTGGTAAATTGTTATTTTACTAGCACTTATAAAGCATATTGACTAGAAAAGTTGAATGTACTACAAAAATCAAATAGTGCTGCAGGCTTCAATTATCCAAGTGAATTTAAAAAGGAACTTTGTTGAAGTAGCTCCACAAAAAAAGAAAACCTCCAACTGAATAATATAGTCATGTGCAAACAAATTACATTTAAAGAAACATGGAATTAAATGCTGTTTTGTTATAGTTTTCTGAATTCTTTTTGCAAAGCCAAGTAGTTAAAAAAAAAAATCAAAACCAAAACAAACCAGCCTGCTTAAAAAAAGAGGAACTTTGTTTTTGGCGGTCTTCTGTTCATTATATGATTTGGCAAAAGGCAGTGGTAGCTGACAAAAGATTGATCTGAGCCTCCAGAAGGGAAAAGAGCTAAAGAAAAATTGCAGAAAATCACTTGACCGCTACTGTCTCTCTTTTGAACACTGACACACAGATATATGCACACACACACACACACACACACACATGCATACTCGCTATCCCATCTCTGCAACACATAAGAATCTTTTCAGAATAGCAGGAAGCACGCACAGAGCAGTCAGGGAAGGATATTATGTCAGCAACCACGAACAATAAAAGGTGTAAAGGTGCTTCCTTCCCTAAACTGTTCCAGAAGTGCAAAATGGGAACCAAAACTGTCCACTTCCTTCTCTGAGCAGAACAGTCTGAATTTGCTCTGCTGCAACATCCCAGACAGAGACTCCTTTGAGCAGTTACACCAGGAGAAATAAGGAGTTCCAAAAAAAGACTGTTAAAATATATAATTTATAAACAAAAGAAAGAAGTCAGCCAGAGAAAAACGAAGTTGAAATGTGCTAGAATTTATAATATTTTCACGGTTGCTTTACAAAAGTAACAAATGTCATAAAGCTGTCCTTGTTCCATTAAGCAGCTTACATTCTGAGTTGATTAATTAGGTTAAAACTGAATAACAAAATCATTTGTTATTATTATGCTGATATAAGGAAGTAAAGAAAAAAGTGTTCTTCCCTTTCTCCTACCATTCTTATCTTGATATATAAAAATAACTTAAAAGATCTATGAAATCTTTTTATGCAAACCTGTTTTCTCAAACAAGATTTGAGTCTGTGTCTAAAAATGTGAATGTACTGAGTAGGAGGAACACATCATCTACTTTTCTGATTAAAAATTTGATGCAAAAATGTAACCATGAATATTGGGACACTTGTTAAAATAAAATGGTCACTCAAACAGTTTCTGTAAAATCCTGACTATCTTCCACACACCAACAAAGACAGCTATACAGTGAAGAAACAGCTGGGCATACTGCATCAATTGAAGACGTCACTCACTGTCACTTTGAGATGGGTATACTTTAAAGAAATACTGAGAAGGGTAAAAATAATTATCTATCATATAATCTGATTGAAATCAGCTGACATTAAAGATAGATGTTGTTCTTTACATTTATATGGTGGTTTGGTGGCATGGTAATAAGAAAAGACAGAGTTTGGGCCATTAACAGAAGGTTATGATAAAATTATATATGTCGTCACCATGGCAATATACCAGTAAAGCAGCAATGGTGCAATCTACAGTATGTTTCTCCAGGCAGAAAGCCATGTAAAAATGAATCGGAGTAATCTTAAGCTTTGAAACATCTGTCCACAACATTCTTATTTAGAAATTAAACATAACCTACACTTTGGTGTTTTGATCTTATGGGCAGGCTGCCATATGAAAACGTTGGAAGAGAGTTAATTTTAATGTACTAAATTTAACTCTCAGGAGATCATGCATTTGGCTTCAGGAAATATGAAACAAACATTTAAGCCATAACAGAAAAATTATAATAGATGAAGTACTAGAGACTACTAGAGAGAAAGTATGTCAAACCAAAAAAATCTGTACATAAAGGAAATATTTTTAATCTGTAACTACCAAGGTTTATTATATTATTAGTTATCTAATCTGACTTCTGACTTATAGCAATGAAGTTCTGAACCAAGGCAAGAGTAAACTGTTCATAAAGTTGCAAACTACAAAATCATTCCCAATACATAAATTTTACTTAGAATTTTAAGAGAAAACTTAAATTATTTTATTTGAATTCATATTTCATTAATTTTATACTGATTTTGAAAACATCTGATGTGCTCATGAGATGATTTCTACTGATAGTCCATTTATTTGTTTGTTCATGTATAAAGGATAGTAGAATCTGTATATTTTAAATCTGAACTTCCAGAGATGTACCTTATTTGCTTGTTTACATTTCAACATACATCTAGTATAATGACAATATAGCAATGAATTGCAGAAAATTCCTTTCTTGCAGCTATGTTATTTTCTATGCCTTGGAACAGCCATAAAATATTTTGCAATGTGATTTATTTTTTTATATTTGGAATTAAGCACTTCTGAAAACTCATTGAAAGAATGCTTCAGACAGCTGTGGTCTATGTAGCTTATAACTCAAATACTGTACCAAGTTATCTCACAGAGCAAGAACTTGTGCATCATGGATGGAAGTGTTACTTGTTTCGCAAAGTTCCCCTGAAAAGTTTTTAGGGGCAAACTAAACATCATTGCCAAAATATCATAGAAGATGATTATTCCTAACAATTACTGTATTTCACTGTGCCACACACCCTGCCTTTCAAGAGGCTGAGGTATCCAGACACAGAATATCTTGTCTCAAGCTGCCTATTTAAGCCAATCCATGCCTGGGTGAAAGGAAAAGAGTGAGTTTAGCTTATCTTTCACAATATGTGCTGACAGACATCCATTCAGTGCAGTGGTGGAAGATTTTATGAATATTGCATGCATGCTATACCAAATCTGGTCATGCTGGTTAAGAACGATGACAGAAGATCAAACACTTCTATGTGATCATGGAATTTGCCTGACAGATGATGAGTCATTCCTTGCAGTAGTGGACCACAAGAGCCATCAGATCAAACATATTGCCTGAACTTCAGTAAATCTGTGCCTGCTATGCTTGAGGAAGAAAGGAAGACCTGGCTAATTTACAACATTTCTGAAGATGGCTAAAATGAAGAGGAGTATTGGATTTGTAAAGCAAACAAAGCAGACACTAATTAGATTTTAAAGAAAATAATTAAGTGAAAAGTTAGTATAAAATATATACCTATGAAAAGTCAATTTTAACACTACAATAATTATTGGGTGGTATTTACATGTGTACCCATCACAAAAAGAAAAAAAAAATAAGTAAATAGTTTGAAGAAAATTTTATATGTTTATGGTTAACTTCATGGTGTACACTTAGCAGCTAGACAGACATAATGGGAACAATATATATGGAATAAGATCCATAAGGTAGTTCAGACTGGCTCAAGTATAGCAGTTTATTCAAGTGGATATACTAACAATAAAAGGGGGAAAAAAAATAAAGGACTATAACTGAATTGCCTAATTGGTCTGAAATAGAGACTGTGTCTAGGAATGGAAATCTGACTGAAAATGGAGTAGGGAAATAGGACCATTGCAAATTCACCTAGGAGTCTTCACAGTTTTGAGCTAATAATTTGATTGGATTGCATTATAGTTACTAGATGTGCAAAGAAAGCAATGAAAGGTGTTTTACAATTTCAGTCTGTCATTTTCTGAGCTAAATAAGAGGAGGCACTTCCGTGGTCAACAGGGTAAGGTTTAGCACCTTGTGAGTTGAGAAAGTCTTAGACCTACTCTGATTTGGGTCTGCCTGTATTGAAAGACATATTACAAACCAGGAGAAATACTAGTGCTAATGTCTGGGAGCAATCTTAAACACAAAGGACTTTGGAGAGTGTTGGCTTATTACAGGAAAATGTTAAGATCCCTAGTGTTATTGCATCACCTGAAAGCAGTCTCTGACCTCGGTTAGATTTGGAAGAACAGATTTGTTACTAATGTTTGCATATGAGGAAGCCTGTGGAACTTGAATCCCCAAAACAGCTTTTAAGAATCAAGAATTATTTCAGATATTATTGGAAAAAACTATACAATACAATATCAAATCATAGTCTCAACTTGGGTACAGGTTCTTAGTAATGCCAATATCAGTGACAGGCAATTTTTTTTCAATAGATTTCCTCTATTGAAGAAACTATGGATTAATTCAATAAAGGATTATTTCCTAACAGTGTTTTTATTACTTTCTGCTTATAATTTGCTGAATGCTAGGAAGCTTGGTACATGCACTTAGTGTCTGTCTAAACTATGGTCAGTAATGAGTCTAGAGGCAATAGGTGGAAAGGATGGAGAAGACAAATTTTGGATAAAATTGATAGAATGGTCAAGATCTACATAGGCTTTGTCTCTTTGTCTTCATCCAGCAAGTTTCTGAGAAATTTTATACACCCTGACCTAGAATCTTCTCACTCAAAGAATCCTCTGGAATCCCCCAAAGGAATCCTCACTTTTCTCACTGTAATCTATATTATGATACTATGTGTATCTATAGTTTAACAACATAACTGAGTTCTGCTATTCCAGGTTTGTGTTGCACTACCATTTCGTCTCTGAAAGGAGGAGCAAAGACTTGGATTGCAGAAACCTCATAATCATATTTTGAAAAGGAACGCCTGAGACATTTGCAAATGAATAATTCCAGTAAGTTTTTAGAGAAAAGGAAAATCTTTTAGAAACAGTATTTTTGTGGCATAAATAAATGGAACAAACTGTAATAAGAACCCAAAGCATCTTTAAATTACCAAGCAAATGAATGATTGAGCACTGTAGCTGGTTCAAAGACTAAGCTGAAAATTAGGAAGGATCATCTAAGGAGGTAAAATAGGGGGAAAATCTGTGGATGAGGATACCATAAAACTGGGAACATGAATGTAGAAACTAAGAGGAAAAGCCCTGAGATGTGAATAAGTTTCTAAGTATAAGAAAAACTTTCAGAGAACAGACTCTATGGAAACATTGTTAATGAATTCATGAAAGGAATCCTTTCCAACAAAATTAAAGTAAGTGACAAAAACTGTCAAGGTAAAGCTCAAATGAAAGTAAAACTTTTTCAGGTTTGTGATGGGAAATATCTTGATGAGAAAAACTGTATAAACATGTTGGGGTGTTATAAGAGAATTAAGGAAATATTTGAGTCACTTATCAGTTTCCCTGCACTAATGGCAACAACTTTTATAATACCTTGAATTTGGCTCGCTACTCAAGTCAAAAATGGACAATGACTCTTAAGCATGTCCCTTAGCATGGTTCAGCTTCCTACCAAAGAAATGAAGTAATTAAATATAAAAGGTTTTCATATGTCCTGAGCCACTGAAATTCCACAAAATCTGTACAAACCTTTGGAATCCTATGGAATCTCTGTGTGCCAGACTATCAAGTTATTTTATAGTATTTTACTGTATGATAACACCTACTCAGGCTTGAAAATTTTGATTATAATACCTTAGATATTTTTAAATTTATTTTTCACTATTAGATCTTGTATGATGCAACCACCCACCCAAGTTCATCACTGACTCTCCAGAGATAGAAGGAGTCTCAGACAAACATGAGTTTAAATTTAGAGAATATTACTGATTTCTATATTACTGGTTTCTATTTCTGCTCCTTTTAGCTCATACCAACATGATAACAGATCCACCACTACTACAGAAAAAAGAAGTCAGATAAATGTTGTAAGTACCTAAGGTAGACTAACAATTTTGGAAAAGATCAATTACCTTTATGTTGTATAATTCTTTGGCTCCTCAGTGTACCCCAAATTCATCCTTTATTTCCAGCCATAGAAGCTGGAAAATAAGATATATTATTTCTGTCTAGAAATAATTTGTCTGTGGTGTTAGACCATTTCAAGTAAAACTATACTACAACAAAAAAAAAAAAACTATATTGCAACAGAAACATATAAGACATATACTATATGTCTTATAGCATAAATCTAAATGCATAACACATGTTTAATTATCTTTATTAGCTTTTTAATGCAACTCAAGATCAGTATACCCTTCATTTGATAACTTCTTTCTTAAAGAGGAATGATTGGACACATAGATATTCTGCTTTTCTTTTTTGCATACTCAGTTCTAGAAACACTTTATTTTGCTTTAATTCCTGACCTTTCTAGAAATGCCAAGAATTAAATATAGTTTTTCTGAAGATGTAGACTGCACAACCTTGTGGAGAGCTGCTAAGCTGATAACAGTTCCTTCTTTTTGTATGAACGGTAATATGAGTGCAAAAACTATGACACTCCCTGAACGCTACTGCTTGCCCAGAGACAGCTGCAGGCTTAAAATGAGGAGAAGAAAGAAGTAGGGAAAAAAAGCAAGGAAAATATATCAATCTTCCCAATGACCATGACAATTCAAAAGTCTTCCAATCCCACTCAGATAATTTTTTTTCCCAAGGACAAAAGGAGATGAAATGTATGTCAGGTACATAATAAGGTTAATAATAAAAAAAGAAGCCTCACACCTACATTTCACTGCAGAGAAGTGAGGACCTACCTCTGAAATATGAATATGTGAAATATGTGTCCTTTCTAATGGCAAAGCTCATAAGTTAGGACAGGTTGCTGCAGTTAAACATACAAAATACAGACAATTTACATAGAAACACGTGAATTCAGAATGGATTTGCTCTGAAAGAAGCGAAGAAAAGTACAGTGGCAGTAGAGCAACCAAGCACTTACAATTACAAAGAATTTACAAGCCACTTTAGAGGAAATTAACCTTGCACATATATTGCCTTTTGCCTCATGCCTGCAATTCTTCATGTCCAGGATGAAGCATTCATTGGAGAAATGGAAGGTTCTGACTACAGAGAAATAACGTGTGGCCAGTATGAGGCCATATCTGTCAGCAGTAGCCCACCACACATCATTGGCTGAAGCTATTTGCTATCTACCTCCTGGCTGCATCTTGACAAGAAACATTTCTCCATGCTGGAAGATACAAACTGTATTCCCACTGGTTTGGAGCTAGGCAAATGCATGAACAGATGAAGCTGCTCATAAGAAAGGAAAGATAGCATGGAATTCGCTATGTAAAGAGGGTAAAAAAATGCCTCATGGGAGAAAAAATTTGTCTGAAATTACTGGCTTAAAAAGTCTATTGAGGGAGAAATTTTCTGTTGTTCTAGCTTAGTGAGATAGTCTACAAGTTTTATTTTGTCCTTAGTGGTTAAAACCAGACAATCATTAGATATATTTCTGTTAACAATATTCACATGAAAATAGAGAAAGAGAGAAACCTAAGATATACAACACACTGAGGAGTTATGCTGTGATATGATAAAGAGCTTGATATGATAGAGTTGCAACTTTGTATCTTCATTAGTTGCAAAGACATAAATAGCCTCATCTAATAAAGTGTGCTGCTCAACCACATCATAGTTTATATTTAGACTTTGAAAACTGTGCTAGGTAGCTAATTCATACTTTCCACATAAGGATTTGATCTTCTGATTTTTCACAGAATTGGAGTCAGGGCTTGTAAAAGAAAAAAATTCTACCAAAAGGGATGGTGTTTATCACAGAGTACACCTGCTACCCTCTGTAACTACAAAAGCCACAAGTGAGCATCACACCCTGCTTACAGAACCTCAGCTATAACCACTCCACTAGCATATGCATCTGGATTTATTCATTTCTTACTTTTATACAATGCACTGCATTTGGCAATAGCCAATGAAAAAGTCAAGATCCTTGACAAATATCAGAAAACAGACATAAAATATTCTTAATTTGCAGACAGAAAACACAATGGAATTTGCTTGATAGTCTTCATTCTACCTTCAGTGAGCATTTTGTTTGTCTAATAGGATCACTGGCAGCATTGTTCATCTTACAATCATCCTAAAAGCATGTTAAAAAAACAAAACCATAATACAAAGATACATTAGCTAAATCTTATTGTGCCTATGAATGTCATTATGTTTTCTTGGAAATGGCACTTTTTGAACTCTATAGATACATAAGATGGTTTCTGATAAAATATATCTTTAGAAACAGGCAGCTGAGGAAAAAGTAGCAGGCAGCATAATTCAAAGAATTGGATTCAGTGTTGGGATGTAAACATGTGTGAGATCTGCTCCCTTTTCTGTCAAAAATATTTCATGTCACTTTCATTTTTAGTCAGTTTCTCTGTTGGAAATCTGGGGATAAGGAATGTGTGGATTTGCTCATACAAATGTTCTAAGAACAAAGGACAGTGAATATTTATTATGCAAAAGAGAAATTCTAAGGGCTATACTTCTCATATGGCATAATCAATGAGTATGTAAACAAATAAAGAATTTAGAATATTAAAAAATATATAAAAACAATGCTAAAGGCCAAAATTACAATCATAAATATATTGATACCTATATTTAAAACCACTTATGTCAGAAAGTTATAGTTACCTTGCATACCTAAGACATTATATGTGCATATATATGTTGTTGTAGCTCTATCATCCTTTATGCTAATCTATACCTTCTTGAAATAAAGATATTTGGCAGTACTGTCATATAAGGTCCATCACGGTACACAGAAGATACATCAGTTTCCTGCTTCTTTCTCTCTCTTACAGCATCCTAATCAGCCTAATTAAAGCTTAGTTCATTTTAAATCTCAGATGGCAATTTGTTTAACTCTATCCCATTGTGGTCTTTTTATAAAGAGAATTAAATTTGATCTTCTGACAGCAATTATTAAATGATCCCAACTGGCCCCAATTAAGACACATGGCTCACAGGCCTCAAAATCCAATAAAGTGCCAATCCCTGTCTTTCACATGTTCTTTACCTTGCTTTATTTTCTTAAAGCCAAATAAGCTCATGTTAGCAAGTACAACTGAATGTCGTTTGTAGAATATTTCAAGATAAAACACATCACTTTACTTTCACCCACATTCTGAAGTAGGGACAACAGATTCAAAATCATAATTTTGACACCTCTCTAATTCAGTTCACCTATCTTTAATGATCTTCACTGTGCTGCAAATGACCTACATATGCTCATTTGTAAAATACTGCTGACAACAAGCAGTGACTAGAGAAACATATCCTTGGTCCAAGTTCTAAACTGCTTACAATTCTCATAGTAATACATCTCTTCTGTAGGCATTTCCACTTGGTTGTCACCTCTCCACCGCAGAAATCCAAGGAAATATGATATTCATGTAAATTCTGAGGTTAACCTTTTTCTACCTCTAATTTCTGATCTAATTTTTCCACACATGTGTGGTGATAATCTGTGAAGAAATATTCCCATGATTTTACATAAAGGCAGGTAGCCCCAGGATTTGGAACTCATTGATTATGTGGTACTCCAGGGAAATAGCTGAATTAAAACCACCCTCATGAGACCAAAGTAGCTTCCATACACATCTGGTTCTTGTTCTATAGTCTAACACCTTCTTGGAAATTGAACCTCTGTCTTTTCTCTGAAGAACAAATGGAACAGATTTGTCTAATGCCATTTGGTTTAGGTCAAAGCTGAGCTGTGTAGTGTTCTGCAAAATTAATTGCAATATAATTGATACTGTTTGACACAGTTTTATGACCAGGCTGTTCTCTCACTATTAAAATATATAAGATTGCATATTTCTGCACATTCACCTACGGCTTTGAGGAAATACAGCACACATTTTTTGTCTCAGTATTTCCAATCAATTACTATATAAAATACAGTAAGTTGTCCAAGTGACCCTAAAATATTAAGCACCAAATAAAAAATGCACCAACTTCCATAGTGTTTTTTTTTCTGAATTTCCTTAATTTACATACTGAGCATATATAAGTACGATTTTCTTTAATATAAAAAAGATAGAAAGACACTAACTTTAATGCAAAATTTTATTTACTAACAGGAAAACGTGCAAGTTTATATAAAACACCATTAGACATCTCCTTTTGAGCTGGGAAATACACTGTTTTGGTAAAAATTAAAAAACTTAAAGTGAGGCCAACCACTTCTCAAGTAAAATATGTTGCTTTATTTTTTTTAACTTGCAAATATTACATTTAAGAATTTAAAAATATTGGCTCCAAAAAGGAGGCAGCATTTTTGATTCTGGAAACGCTATATGAACCAGTAAATTTGAATGCAATAAAGCTGAGAATTTCTAATAAGGCATTGAAATTTCTAAATATTAAAAGAATATTTCAGTATATTGTTAATTATTTCTCATTGTAATCTAAACATCCCATAGAAGAAATTAATTTTAGCTTTTTTGCTAAAACCAGCAAACCCTTTAACAGTTTTAGTGCCAAGAGCTGAAATAATCCTGTGGAAAAAACTCAGTACAGAGATCAGATCAACCCAAATCCTGCCATTACTCAGCACCGCAGTGATGTGCAGATGTTTGTAGTGGTTTAAGGAGCCATGGGGGCTGGAAACTCTACATACTCAACTCCAACATGATTGCAATTGAACCTCATCAAAGTAAGAGCTCATAATTTGTCACAGAAAACAGCCAATTAACATATGTTAGAAAAAAGCTCCCATAAAGATAATATATGATTAATGATCCAATGCAGCTGTCATAAATCAACTCTGCATTTTAAAAAGAAGTATTAGCCTGGCTTTCTGAATTTTCACACAGACAATGGAGACTGTATTTTAAAAAAGCTGCAGAGAAGAAGCCCCTAGTAATACTGTGTCCTCTGGTTTGGAGCTAGAATTTTGAGAGACCCAGCATTTTTGCAGTTCTGGCTGTTCTGCTATACGTAGTTAAGACCCTTGTCAAAATACAATGACTATTTTGTTTTAGTGCTCTTTTACAATGCAGACCTTCACTGTGAGTGAGGTGGCCTTCATTGATATACTTTGCTGTCAACACAATCATCTGAAAACACAGCATCTCTTTATTGCTTTCAAAAATACATTGTAAAGATATGCTGTGATCTTGGCTATTCAAATGCATAGCCCTGAGTGAAACAGCACCCCATCCAGTCCTGTTACTTCATATTTACACTGTTGAAAATGAAATCTAAATGCTGAGTGCAACCATAATTTTTCTAAAGAAAAGGATTTAAAGTAGTTTACACTTATATGTGTGGAAAGCATATATGTTAGCATATATGCTAACCTGTTGCTTTATTAAGTCAGAATACTGACTGCGATGCCTAATTTGAACAACTATCTTTACTCCTCATATTTTGCACAGCACTATTTTAATTCTTGAAACACTGCATAAATAGGCTGCTCGTTTTTCACACAGCATTATTCATTTTTTTCCTGTTATTATTTAGGATCCCATGTGGCAACCAGTAAACTCTGAAGTGACTTGAATAGTACCTTTTTTATATGTGTGTGCATATATAAGAGTGTGTTTGTCTTGACATGGTGTTGTAAAAGGAAGTATTTCCTCTTTTCTGTTTAAAAGAGATCCTAAAAACCCAAGGTTTTGAAACTCAGTAGTCTGACTGGACATTAGTCAATGTATTTTTAAAAGTACTTAACTCCTATTCAGTTATACATGGTCAAAAATTGACAAATTTTAGTTGGTGCTAGCAAAGAACAATATAATGGCAATAGTAGAAGTGAAGTGAAATGAAATTATTTTTAAGATCCTTTTCTCACCTTTAAAGTCCTTCAAGGATTCAGAAATGCTGATTCTATTAATCTTACAGATGGAGTTTCTGTCATCAGCACAAAGTTAATTCTGTTAAACCAGAATTTGTTATATTGTTACTGAAGTGTCTGGTGACTACAAAGCATGAATTCACAAGTGCTGAATTGGCTAAGACTTTTGAATATGCTAGAAATTAATATGCTGAGAGGTCAAAAAGAAAACTTAAGTGTTAAAAGCTACTCATGTTTCAAAAAGATCAAAAGCATTGATATTTCTGAGCCATTTACATAGACCACAAATGGATAATATTGTCATTCCTCACTATGGTACATGATAAAAAAATATAAATTATGAATCACTGCTCCTTTTGACAAAACACTGTGAGTAATAAGAGGGTTATACTGCTTTTTTTCCCTCCCCCTCAGGGGTGTGTTCATTCATTCCCGAGCAATCAGTAACATTTTTGATTAAGATCTCAGAAACAGCTGAATATCCCAAGGCTTTTCTACTACTGAAAATTCATGACTTTTACTGTCCCCAATTAATGACAGTGAACTATGCAGCCTCAAGCAAAAGAGATTAATTTCAATTTTGCAATTAATAGGAAAAAAGACTGGACAAAATGCATTCCATATCTACTAAATTGTTGTTTGTAACAGAAAATTCACTTTTGGCTCTAGAGAAAATTTGAAGTGAGTGATAGTATTCAAAGTGCAAAACAAGCAGTACTTTACAAATGATGCAATAAACAAGAGTCAAATGAGAACTGTATATTTTTCCTTATGCTTTTTTAGAATAAAACCACATTCTGGATAAGACCCAAGGTTAGTATGTCCTCCTGATTATAAATCTGCTTTAAAATATTCTGCTAATGGTAAGAGCAGAATAATTGAAATATGTTCTTAATTGTATGGAAATATTGTGTCAGAGGGATTTCCTAGGTTGTAAATTTAAATTTCTTCTCTTTGTAGGTAATACAAATATAATTTTACAACTAGGTCATGCATAAATGACCGGT